CTGAAACTGTTCCCAAGATATGCTTTCTATCTTCAACCAGAAAAAAGGGCAGATTCTTTGAGTTGAATACTATGGATTACTGACATGTGGTGATGTGCATGATGGGCAGTTGCTAAAAATGTGTACATGCCACACAATGAAGAATGCTGAAATTTTACTGCTCCTTTTATGTGCAATATTATGATACTTGGTGAAAACAATGAAAAAAATTTTTTTATTTGTCTTTGGAATTCTAAACTTCATAGAAATGTGAGCCTTTCAGACATTCTTAGACTCCATAATATATCAAACTACAATGAAAACACACTGAATTTATATCTAGCTAATGTCCATGCAAAGTGGCACAGGAATATCTCTAAATACAGTATTTTTAAAAATTAAAAGAAATATGTGTATCTGAATATGATTATTTTAAATTCAATACACTTTTTTTTCTAGGAACTTAAAGTTCTCTTTTGTATTTTATTTAAAATACCACTTTGAGCTTGTAGGCATGGAAAATATAATTTCTTTCCCATTTCACAGTTGGAAAAACTGAATTAGAGAGAACAATGCTAGTAATTATCCATGATTAATAGAGGTGTGTATGCAAATCAATCTGAATAAGTGTGTGAAATTAGATGTGCTGATGCCAGATAGCTCTGCTCATGTTTTTAAAAAGATGAATGCTTTCATAGAAATTTCTGGGAGTCAGGCATACATCTCTCTCTGTTGAGCATATTTGAAAATGGACTTTGTAAAAACACATGGACATTAAAGTAACTGTTATGTATTATGAATATTGTAATATATAAAATAAATTAGATGGATGTTTAAAATTCATTATATAGATGCGTATCTAATGAACATTATGAATGCATACATAATGGTTATTTATAATGTAGTATAGATTTATGTGTGTGCCTGGGTACAGCAAGTTGTGGATTGGAATCTGGATATACTTTGATCTTTAAAAAGTGTGGCAGAAAGTTCATGTTATTTTTTGAGGGTTGTAGGAGTCAATTGAGTTATACATGCAAAAGACCTTAGAACTCTATTGGTACATGAGAAGCCAACTAAGCGGGTTAACTATTGTTATTACTTCGAATATGACCATTGTTGGGCAAGATGAAACTCCTGTTATATTAAAGGGCTGAGAAGAGGCATTTTCTCATTGATTCCCAGGATGATATCCTACAGAAAATAAATGAAACTGTAGAAATTATCCAGTGATCTTTTTGGCATGAGATAGGTAGGCTGTCCTATCCATTTTCCCTTCCATCCCTTTGGAATATGGGCTTTAGAACCCATTCCTGGGAGTGCTGAGTGAGGACAGGGCTCTCCCCTCCTCTGACTGTAGATAGAATCTGGCTGTTCTGATGCTAGACCTGTCCATAAGAACACCTGTCTCCCTTTAGGAGGAAACATACGGGACTGCAGATTTATGCAAGCCTGGTTTGTTTGTGGGTTGGATTTGAATTTTTTTTAAAACTTTAATTTTGGGGGGTTTTGTTTGTTTTCAGAGAGAGCTTTAGACAGCTGTATTAATCATGCAAACCCAGCCATGTGCAATGTGTTTTATCAATGGAAAAACAGGGACTGAATGGCAAGCAGCTGAGAACAAACCTGGTGCAAAGCCTGAACCTGGAAGATAATCTCAACATTTCCCAGATCCATTCGCCACACGGGGTTAGTGATTGGAAAGGCTGTTCACTTGGGATAAATAATCAGATGGGAGGCAAACAAGTGAGACACATTCCAGGGTTTTTTTTGTTTTGTTTCAAGAGGCAGTGATTGGAGAAGGATGGGCTCATAGAGCCCAGAGAGCCACCAGCTCAAGGGAGTTTTTTGGCTTGATAATTGTGAAAACAAAACAATGGTGATTTGTCCTTGTCCTTTTCCCTTCTTTCACTTGATTTTTAACTTTCTAAGGTTGGTTTCATCGCTTCACCTGAATTCGTGGTCTTCCTCAACATGAGGACATTGCTAGGTGCACTTCTGTTATGAAGACGGGCTATGCGCCAGTAGGTTGATGGGGAGGAACATTATCATTGCCCAGTATTCAGAGCCCCAGGAAATGATTTGAGTCAAACAAAGCGAGAAAAGTTCCCTCAGACATTAGAGTTGACTATTTCCTCATTTTACAATTCAGTGGGTTTTCTGCAGCGATATAGTCAGGGGTATTTATGCAAATATATGCAATTCAGCACTCATTTTAGAATAAGTAAACCTGAATTAAAATTAATGGGGAAAAACACCTATCAGAAACAGATCAGGAACAGAACGCTACTTATTTTGCTTGCTTATTTTTATATGTATCTTTTAAATTAAGGAGCAGGGAAGCACACTGTTTTTGTTGTGTTGTTGTTGTTGTCATTTTGTTTTGTTTGGGTTTTGGCACAGGGGAAAGGACATTTGAAGATTTCTAATTGGCCACAGCCGATACACATTACCCTTTGGTATAATTCCAGTATTATTATTATCGCTGCAGAAAATCAAGCAATATGATGAAGGAAACCCAAGGGAAATGCATTTGATTTATTGAGCCTGGTTTTTGTTTAATCACAGCTTGAAGGGGTTTAGGACTGCATTCTGGCTGTGACTCTACAGCACATTCCCAGCCAGCTTGAAGAGCCACAGAGAGTGGGGATGAGGGAGGTTACTCTCCAATGAAAGATGATAATAATGAAGCAGCTGCAATGTAATATATATTTCTTTTAGGTTGGAAATGAAGAGAGAGGATTCTCTTTTTATCATGGGTGGGCAGAAAAGGATCTTTGTGACTTTCTACTTTCAAAACCCCTGGAAATTAGTTGGTTCAAAATTCTTCAGGCCATTTCTGTTAACCAACTGCTTTGAGGATGACACTTAGTGCTCCATGTAGATGATGACAACATATGATATTTGATCCAATGAAGGAGTCTGCACTGTAGTGGTAAACACCATAAGGCATGCTTTTCATAGCTATTTGGGTATAAGTTGACACCCTAAAGAATTAAGCATTATATTTTTAGCTTTTATTTAAATGGAAAACTGGGTTTCCCTTGGGTTGCCGTCTTGCTTGGAAACAGGAGGAAAAAGTGATTATATTCCTGGGAAGTTAGAGTCCCTGTAACGAAGAGAGGGGGACATCTTCAATAGCAACCTCTCACATCTGCTATCCCAAGTCTTAATGAACAGCTTTTCAATTTCCACTAGCAGAAGCCCAAAGTATTAGTAGTAAGAAAACTAAGTTCTCTAAAAACTATCAAATCTAAGAAAGCTAACTACAGTCTACCTACAACATAAAATCAAACTAGGGTCATTCTCCAATCAGCAATGCAGTTTGTGGGAAATAAAAAGTTCAACAAAATCCCACATGCTCCATCCCTAGACAAGACTGTTTTTCAATATCTGACAGCTGCCCTTTGAGAGCAACGTCTGGCCTCACTTTGTTCAGTGTTACATATATCATAATGTATGATCAGATAAATATTTGAGTTTGTAGCTGCAGAACTGCTCTCACAAAGGACACCTAGAGTCATCCTGACACTGTACAAAGCTCAACGTGGATGGGGCATGACCTCTTTGAAAAACGTTATCCATTGGGACAAATGTGTATGTGTGTGTTTTCCATATCAAGATACTTGCACGATGGCAACATGATAAAATGGTGTCAATCTTGGCAGCAACACCAGAAGACAAATGTCTTAAAATAATTGTGGCATGTCAGGAATTCAAAGATGGGATATTTTCCACGAATACTAAGTTTCATGTCAAGTCTAAAAAAACAGACACAATTTTAACAGTTTTATTTTTAGGAGCTGGGATAAGACATAGATTTTATTAATGTTTTAGAATTTTTTTTTTTTTTTTAAAAGAGCTCTTCCAAGCTTGTATACTGAAAAATGTTTGGACTCTTCTCACAATTTAGGAATCATTGTTTTATTAAGCTATGTTTTGGATCCTGTAAACCTTGCAATACTTACTTCAAATATAATTAAAGTTAGTTTTCATATATGCGAGTGCACACATATGCAAAACATCGTATTATTGACACTAAATATCTGTACCCAGTTTTGCTCTAATTTTTAGTCTGGACAAATGTTTAATGAAATATGATCCATCTTCAAACTTACAAAACAGTAGCTTTTTACCTTTAATTCTGAGCACATTTTTTATAGTGTCTATGATAATCTTGTTTAATTGGATTTATTTTTTCCACACTAGGCCCCGCATGGCCTAGTTTCCATTTTTTTCTCAGGTCTTTGAGTGCTATTTGCAAATCACTTTTCTGGAATTTAATTTCAATGGTAGGTTGGTTTCATTTCAGATTTTTTTTTTGTATTATTTTAATTTTATTTGCCAATTTGCCTTTAAATAGCCTTAAGCTAGAAAGTCTTGGCTGCAACTTGCATCTAAATGTGATGTAGAAGGCAAAATTTAATTTGGGTACATAGAAAGTCTTATGAAAAGGAATACAGAATGACTACTTTAGAGTGTGTGTGTATGTGTTTTCTAAAGTAGTTATGTTTAAAAGGAAAAACCCGTGAGTTGGCCAAGAGTTTAAGAAAAAGTAGTGTCCTAATATTCTGGTTGAGTGTAACCTTTGTTAGTATATAAGTTCATTTTTATAAGTAGTATCAGTGACTTAAAATTCAGATAGTATAAATCTCCAAATGTGAGTTTGGATGGTGGGAGGATTTGTATTTCTGTGGGCTAAAGAGCTACAGAATTTAAGTGGCTGTGTTCCAAATTATGAGAGTTCATGGTTACCTGTAATCAATTCTGACTGAAGAAAAAAATCTCTCTCTGACATTTTCTTCCCAGTTACTGAAGTTTAGGCAGGTGGCATACCTGTTACAAACCTGTCAACTGGTGTGGGACAATGGATTAACTTTATTTGCAATGGTTAAGGAAAAAAATAATGTCTATTGGATGCACATTTTGGAAACATATAATTCTCCTTTATGTCTTTTTCTCATTATAGATGTTGGAGAATGACCCAGCAACAGAGCTACAGTGATAAAAATCATACTGACCTTGAATGGGGTGGGGGATTGTGGGTAAAACACGCTCTGAAGGGGAAAAAAATAGTAAACATCATGGAGAGTTTAAAAATATCGATCTTATCTATTTCTTTCTCATGTTAAGCTACTCAAACAATTAGAAATCAGATGAATTTCCTTGCCTGTAGGATCATCTCTCTCATGAAATATTTATTTGTTCTTTCTGTAACACTAAAGTATCATAGACACGTATTAATAAAATTAAAATTACAAAAACATTAAAAAATATGTCTACAATAGGGAGACAACATCATATTATGGTAATTTTGCATACTGGATCCTTCTGTCCACTGGCAACACCCACGGCCAAGATTTTAGCTATTTTAGAGAATTGGAATAGAAAGCATTCATTGAAGTAATCAAATCCAAGTACTTGGTCCTGAGTCCCCACTCTTTAGCTCCTAACAGATGGACCTCTGGGAGCTACAGACTTCTTTGGATCAGCTCTATAGCCCATATCAGCATTAGTCAAGCATATGGAAACTTTATTTTGTGAAATACTAATTCAAGTTTTCTCTCAGGTTTTAACTTCCATATCAATGACATCAGTGCAAGAGTATACCTGAGCAAGTATACATTTCTTGGAATTATATCACTTTATTTTTAGACTTTCTTAATCCCAACCTCCTGTTATAATATAATTTCATCTGAAATTTGTTCAGCCAATCAAACTTGCTTGATCACACACCCTGTTGAGGAATAAGGAGTACTTTTCTATTGAAAACTTGGTTCCTAAGCTTATGGGACTCTCACAGTCCCATATTGGAGCTACCAGTGCAAACTGAATGTGCAGACAAGAGTTCAGGCTTTCAGGTACCCTTTGCATAGCTCACTAAAATCCTAGGCTTAACTCTAAATCCTCCCTGAGGTTCTTGCAGAAAGAATAAATGGCACCTTAGGGATAGGATGCAGTACTTGCTACCCCTGAACACTGCAATGTAACAAAGTAGCACAAACTTTCTGCATCCTTCCTAGAAGTTTGTTTAAATAATGACCAATGAAAAATGAAAATTAACAAAAACCCAAACCATATCAAGATAAGCATAGGTACATATTCAAATTTGATCTGCATGCCATCATATACCATAAACCAAAAAATACTCAATTTTAGCAAGGTCTTTGGACATTGATACATCTGGACACTGAGCCAAGTCAGTGACCTCTCTCTAGCTGAAAGTTGTAGCTTAAATGTGAAAGTTTCCTAAGTGCATTAAGATGGAGCAAGTCAATAATCGCCCAGTGAACAATTGTGTCTTAGTTACACGAGTGTCAAGTAGAAAAATGGTTTAAACCTTCACTGGTTATTTGGTATTAAGTTTCCAGCTTTGAAAATAAATAGCTAAACTGCTTTCAGCATTTATGTAGCAGTTGGAGACCGCTGTCCCATATTATACTCTTTCTACTGTATTTTATTTTTATTATTACTATTATTATTTGGACTGTTTAAAGGACTCAGCTTCATATTTTCTCATCAGACTCTTCACAGCTGGGTAAATGCACTCTGCCCTCATTTCCACAAGACCATTTATACTGCTAAACCATCTCACCCACTCGACTTTCATCGCCTTTCAACTGCTTCCCAGCTTGTTATCACTCTCTTAGCTCCACCCTGTTATCATCATTTCGGGCTTATCACACCCCATTAATTAGCCTTATTCTCTTAATTCTCTCCTTCTGACTTCTCTTTCTTTAGATGCTCCCCGATTCCCACTTTTTATCCTTAATCTTCCACCATGATTCTTGCTGTTTTATAGTTTAGGTCAGGGTTTATGGGTTTCTGTAAGAGTATAAAGTGAAGTAAATACCATTTAACATGAAAAATTTTCAACTTTTGATTTTCAAAAGCAAGGGAGGGCAGGAATCTTGGTGGAACATGCTTCTCCTTGGGCTGTGAACACCTGAGGAGGTGTCAGGAGCAGAACTCCTTTAGCAAGTCTCTGAATGCTTAGTTGTTTTTTTTTTTTTTTTTTTTTTTTTAACAGAAAAATGGTGGCAGGAGTGTGGGGTGGGGTGTGACTGGCTGATTCTGCTGAATATCATAAGAAACAGCCAGAAGGGGATTAACACTTCATAAGGAAACACTTGAATTAAGACAATAAATGACCAAAGGGGGAAAAAAAAAGCTGCAGTCAAGGGAAGGTCGGTGTTTATATCAAGGGAATTTACTAGCTCAAACAAGATTTTCTTTTCTTTTCCAATGAGCATAACAAAGGTACAGTGGTCTTTCAGGAAGTTAACCTATTTGGTGCCTATGCTTGAAATGAAAAGTAGTGCAACTAAGTGCCCACCCTTTTCCTTTTATCCACAGAGAGCCTTTTTACGAGGGACTTTGCAGCTAGTCTTTCAAACAACATGGGGTTAGTGTTCAAATAGCAGCTCAGATTGTTGTATTATGTGCCATCTAAAAGAATCTGGTTAAGAGGCCTCCCGAGTCTTAACTAGCATCATTGAGTGGTGTATGTTTATCACCAAGCCCCTGGAATAATAACTAAGAATGGTTTCCGAAGAAGAAGGGGAGGCCCGTAGTGTAAAGACTTACTATAGTGTTGGGTTGCTGAGGTGGCATTTAAAATCTAGTCAATTATAGGTTTACAAGTTCATGATATTTTAAAATTAAAAAGAAAATGAAAAAAATACCTCCTACACACTGATGTGGAATGGTCCAGTAGAAACCAATATAGTAGGTTGCTTTGTATTTTTACTCCTTTGTTTTGATCAGTAGGACTATCCTTTACCATGTGGAAATAACCCCCTGCTCAAGCAACTAGGCTGGAATATTAGTTGAAATCCTTAGCAAGCCAAAAATAAAATGAGTCTGATAATCTCAACCTGCAGATGAGAGTTAATGGGAATGGAAGTGGGAGGTGGCCGAAGCAGTGCTCTTGGATCTGAAGGGACCACAGTAGTATTAGGCCAGTTAGAAAGGTCTCATGAAGGGAAAGAAGACATTAGATGTCTCCTCCCTTCTAAACTGCAAGCCGTATCTCCTAACATTTTTGCCTACATACATAAATAGCTTTGGTCTTCTAGCATCATTGAATGGTGTGTGTTTATCACCAAGCCCCTGGAATAATAACTAAGAATGGTTTATAAAGAAGAAGAAGAAGTCCAGTTTCTAACTGGACTCTGGAAACAGATTACCCAAATTTAAATCCCAAGCTCAACCTTGTGTAGTTGCACTAATGACATAACCTCTTTGTGTAATGGAGAAACATGAGTGCATAGCAAGGTTGCCATGATTAAATGAGGTCATGTATGCAAAGTACAGCACATACTGCAGGGTACCTTGTAAGAACTCACTTGATAAGAAATGATGACATATTAGTCATCATCTTTATTCTTCCTCCCTATTTGTAACTCAACATAAGCAGTGAAACAGATAAATCTATCACCTTTGTGGGTTACAACTTGGTCATCAGTGTGGGAACATGGAACTTGTTATGTTACATAAGCAGGCAATAGAACTTTTCTTGCCATCACCAGCCGTCCTAGTCTTCATCTACATTATGCACATTCCCCTATCTGACAAAGACCAAGCTGAATCCTTACCCATACGCGTTGCACCACTGGATTAATGCATTAAAAAAAAAAAAAAAAAAATATATATATATATATATATATATATATATATATATATATATATATATATAAACATTCTGGGAATGAAGACAGAACTAAAAGGCACTACTGAAGTAGTCTTTAACAGAATGCTAGAATGTGAGAAGAACAATTGAGAAATGCTTCCGCTAGATGAGGATGAAATTACTATGATTGCAATGTATTCTTACATTCTCATTCAATTATGCTGACCCCTTTGGAGACTGGTGTTTGATTAGAGTAGAGTGGTACACATATGAGTTGCTGAGGACAAGTGGTCACAAATGACACTGCAAAAAGTCAGCATGTCACTAGGACCGACAGGGCTGAAAATGTGCTGACCACCAACAAGGATGAAGAATCGCAGACTCTTCAGGGTACTGGCTCTGAGTCTACCTGCTGCTGCCTCTGGCTGTCAGGAGCTCACCAGCTGCCCCATCTGCTGCACACTGCCTTGGTCAGCAGAGTTCCCTGCTGCCTGCACAGTGCTTCCGTCAGGGTCCCCGCTACAGACAGCTCCTCATGCCCCTGCTCATGGAACAGTCGCAGCAGGAACGCTTGCTCACTGTGCTCCTTCCATGAACCCCGTTTACTCTGACACCAGGCAAAGGGCCACCACACGTACATTTACCCTGATGTTTTCTTTCTTCCCTTCCCTTCCCTTGTGCTCTCCTTTCCTTCCTTCCTTCTTTCCTATCTCATTCTCTCCCTTCCTCTACTTTCTCTCTCTCTCTCTCTCTCTCTCTCTCTCTCTCTCTCTCTCTGAACAGTGCTCCCATAGAGCCTCATCTTCAAAGGCTCCAGCTACACAGCAGACTGTAACAACGTGCTTTCCACAACTGACTGGTGGCTGTAGGACTGGCAGGGAGTGCCATATTTGTTACAAGAGAAGCAGCTGCTTCCCCCTTAAAACATCCACAATTAGGCTTTGGGTCTAAGAAACAGGTCAGATGATTGACTAATTTTCTGTGATTCTCCTAAGCTCCTTTTCACCTCAAAGTCTAATGACCTTTCATATTGTATTCTTCAGCAAGTATAACACCATAAGGTGGGAAATCAATTCTGAACTAAATGCTGATCACGAGCTGCCTATGCATGCTTCTAAATGCAGAACTGATACCCCTGTGGGCTGTGGTGTAGAGGGCAGCGTGGGCCCGTGAGGGGTGGAACATCATTAAACAGGGCACCGTGCACTTCTCAAATGTATAACTGAGGGTGATTTCTTCCAAATCACCAAGGGCATTATGATACAATTGCCTTATTCCCTGTTTATCAAATTATAATCAGAAGTTCTGTAAGTTTCTATTCTTAATTTTACTAGTTTAAGTCCTTCAAATGGACTTTTGTGTTAGGTCAATTACTTCTACTAATATTTTCATTATCTTTGACCCCACCCATTCTCTTTCTCTACCTTCCCCAACTATTCCATTATTCTACCTCACTTAGTCTCTCTCTCCATATACAGGCAATATTTTGTTATTTGAAATATATTGTTATCATACTTCATATTCTCAGTGATGAGAAGAAAGCATTTTAATGCAAATGTATCATCTCTCACTCTCTGCAGTCCATTTTCTCTTTTTCAATCCCTATAAAACTTTTTGTTAAGTATATATTATTCGACTTAACTAGGTCACCTTAGATATGTCAGTACCTTGAATTTATAGATGAGGCTAGGTTTTTGCCCCTATTTTTGAAATCCCTAATATCAGGAATGAATGGGTAACTACATTTCTTAATACTTATCTTCCCAAGTGTCTTGTGGATATTGATGTTTCTGCTGAAGCAAAGAACACTGATGCTTGGTCTTTGGAGACAAGTAAACAGGGATATGAATTTTAAACTTCATATTGAGGCAACATTTGTATAGCTATATCCTATCAAACTGTCATAGACTGACGTCAATTGGAGTTATGAATGAGAAAGTGAAGGCTGAATTTTGGGTAGTTTGTGGTTGTTGTTTTTCATAAGTGGAGCTGTATCTGGAGCAGTTTTAAAATGGCTTTAGCTCTGCATTTCAAGAGAACTCTCACTTAAATTGATTTTCTTCTAAGATTTTTTTTTCCACGAAGGCTCATCTAAACGGAATAAAATAAGATGAAGACATCTCTCCTGGCCATAGTATTTCTAGTTTTTCCCAACTGAACTTGTGCAGAAAAAAAAATTAGCAGTTTGTTATTCCAAAAGAATAATAGTACATTCTTTGGTCCAAATGAACTTTGTTTCTCAGTATGTGCTAATTTTTTTGATTGCTTTACTTATTCTGATGAACCTGTCCCTATTCTAAATATATTAATTTCCCATCCATCATCTTTCTGTTTCTCAGGGGACATTTGCTTCTATACTCGTAGCTTCCTGACCAACAAGACAGGGATTTAGAGTCTTCACTACAGCATGCTGCTCAAAAGTAAGACTCGAAGGTGGAGCTTCCTACTAATATTGATAACTTGGAAATGGCTGATTCCTCCTTAGTCTACTCTCAAGATCTTTTCTGCTCTTCATAAATGTTTCCTTGCCTACATTCTCATCTCTGTTAGGAAAAACATTGGACAAGTAATGTCTTTTGCTGTCATATTGAATCCTTTATGCAACCATTTTCCTCCTTTGCATTTTATATTATGCTTTAATCATTAATACCACCCTTCCTCTTGAGTTGTTAAAAATATATTTCCTTTTCCAGCTTCTCCCTTCTCTCAACTGCTTGTCCATCCTCATTGAATATTTTGTCTTCAACCACTCTCATCACTGATTTTTTGTAACAACCATCAATTTTCAGTCTCGTACAGCACCTCTGTTTCTTAAAGAGGCTACCACCAAAGAAATATGTGCTCTCTGAATATACTAGCAGTTTAGCCAACCAGGAAGAAACAAAACTAAGGGGGAGGGAAAAAGAAAAAAAAAACAGGGCACCTACCAAAAGTAAGAGAATACAGACAGAAATTCTTCCATTTGAAAATCTTGTGTCCAGGAATTGAGAAAACTGTGCTTTTGTTTTGGTGAGTATATTCTTATTTTTATAATGTTTGCCTTTAATAACAAAGGGGTTGAACTCCAACTTTCCACAAGAAATCTCTACCCATGTAATTATGTCGAGCTGGACCCTGCTTTGGCATACTTACTGAAAAGGACTAGGCTGGCATTGGTGACCCCCAGCTTGTTGGCAGCCACGCAGGTATAGTTGCCATAATGCTCCTCAGTGACGTTGGTCACCGTCAGGGAGGACTGGCCCTCCGTGCTCTTGATCTCAAGGCCATTGGCGCTGTTTATCCTAAGAATTCAAAAACAGGAGAGTTAAAAGGAACACCGATGAAGGTTTTAACTTTCTTCCCCATCTTTATATTGGAGGAAGAAGAGAAAAGAAACAAAATTTGTTATGCCTAGCTCAATTCCTCATCTTAATTGTGCAATCCCTATTGTCAAGATCAATGTCCCTCAAGAGAAGACTCTGGAATGGTTGACTTTCATTAGGCTTAAATTTCTGCTATCTGAGAGAAAGGCATGCAGGTGGAAATGATCCTTTAAACCAGCTACTTAACTTTTTATATTTTAACTGAGTGCTTTTGGGCTTCAGTTGAAGGGTTACAGGCCCTAAAGCACTTGGTAAAGAGATACTGAAAAGGAAGAGCCAAACAGAATAGGTCTTCATAATTACAACTGAGCTGTTTTGTTGTTGGGCTTCTGAGGCCTTCAGCACCACCAGGTGGGGCACTGGGGGCATGGCAGATTTGGTACATACCTGGTGTCATCCCGGTACCACTCAAAGTCAGGCGCGGGTACTGCAGAAGCCTCGCATTTGAGTGAAGCTTGTCGGCCTGTGGTGGCTTCATTGCTCTTGGACTCTGTGATGGTGGGAGGATCTGTAGGAAGGACAGGCACATGTGTTTACAGGAGAACCAAAGGGGGACAGGGAGCTCCAGAATTTCCATCCAGGGAGGAATCAGAAAGGACCCTCTGATTGGAGCAAGGTAGAAAGGGATTGTCTGAAAGCTCCACTGATATGAATCATGTGATCAGCTAAGTGGGTCTGACCACTACAGAACTCAACAAAAATAAGAGATGATTAAAGAAAATAGACCTGGTTTTCCTAAATGAGGCACTCAGCAGGGTGCTATGGAAATGGAACCTGGGATCTCTTTCTCTCTCATCTAATCAATTCTTAATTATTCTAACCATGGATTATAATATTCATATTGTATTTTTGTACATAAATCAAGAAGTGAGACTGAAAAACATGGGATATTAAACATATGATTTCACCATTTTTCTTTTTTTTTCTTTTTCTGCCATCATCCTCATTATTATCACTGTGGTTTGAGATGGTCTGAGTTTGAGGAGTCTGATGAAAATAATAGAGGCCTAAAGTCTGTTCAATCCAAGGCTAACCTGGTATTTTTGAAGCAATTAAAAAACTAACAAACAAACAAAAATCTAAGATTATGTGATTTCTTCTTTTTTCCTATGTGTGTCCTGATTTCTGTGACCCAGGTAAAATTTGCTTTTGTTTATGGGGTTTATCCTAATGCATAAAGGACTTCTTGGTGTATCAGTTATATAATTGCTGTTCTATTCTTGAGTTTTTCTGCCTATGACTGGGCCTGTGACAGTCTTGACATGAACTCAGAAGTGCATCTGAAATTCTGGTTTGCCATGATTCTTTCAAACACTCCTATGAAGGTAGAGCAACTGTTTACAGGCCCATGCGAGGAAGACAGTGTGTGAGGGGAGAGATCCTGGGCCTGGTGATGCTTTGTGGATCTTCAAGGAGAAAAGCACTTTTCTGCTCAAAGGTCATTAGCCAGAAAATAACATATGGGAAAAAACAGACCCAAACAATCAGTTTAGACTTTGTGAAAGAAAAACTTATTTAAGGCACTTTACAGTCAACTTCAGTGTATCAATTTCATTGAAACTATATTTTGGCACCTGGTCCATCTTATTTTTGGAAACTATTTCTGAAGTTTTGTGACTATAGAAGACTGAGTTAAAAAGGATTGTACAAAAGCATCAGGTTCATCTATGATTTCCAACCCCATGTCATTTCCTGTCAGCTTGGAAGTCTTTAAATCACCATCAGAGAGAGGCATGAGAGTCTGTTTGGGTCAACACTGTCAGCCTGAATGTAAACCGGAGTGTCAGAGTAGGGGTTTTGTTGTTGTTGTTTCACTTTGAATTTAATCTGTTCATTTTTTCATATAGGCACAAAATGGGAAGATGATGTAAAAAAAGAAGCCTAGACAGGAAAAGAGGAGTCCTGGAATGTCTCTTGGCTGTGTGGACCTCCCTCTACACCCTTGATTTTTGGGGCCTTGGTCTTATTACCTTTAAAATGAGGGAACCATGCTTTAATGATCTGTAGTAACCTTCCCAGACACAAAATATCTCAACTCCAGTAGAAACAGCCTCTCCTTATAACTGGACTGTTGGTATCATTGCCACATGTTTTCATAGCCTTAATTCATTTAACCTTTAAATTACTAACTTTCCAAATTATAATCCATTAATGTGTTCTAATGGGTTAAGAATGAGTATTAGCAGTCAGGAACATTAAACCTGAAATCTGAATTTTGACTCTACCCTTAGCCAGAACTTGGTCTGGGTAACTGTCTGTACTGATTTAAGCCTTTTTTTTCCCTCATCATTTTTTATTTTTTTATTTTTTGCAGTGCTGGGAATTGGGCCTTAGGGCCATGTGCATCCTAGGCAAGTTTTCTACCATTGAGCCTCACCTCCAGCTTTATGTTTTAAAAGATGAAACTACTTAAAAGGATCACAACAGTTACATGTGAAAGTCATTCTGTGATTGGTTATAGAGGTCATTAGAGCACATAGGCTCAAAGGCTAATGCAAGAATTGCAGGTAGTTACACTGGTGGGGAAAGGAGGGCTAAAGCATATTAGTAGAGGTCATGAGCTCAGATTGAAATTTGATAGACTTGAGCTCAAATCCAGACTCTCTCCCTCATGTTCTTCCTCATTTTCAAAAAAGTTTAGCACTTTTCTCAGAGTTGCTTTAATACCCTCATCAATAAATTGTTGGAAACAGGAGCAAGGAGGACCATTTGGAAGCTGCTGAAGGAATGCAGAGATATTTTGCATTAGATTTGGGAAGATGCTGAATGGAGGGAAAGATCGGAGATATATGAGGCCTCAGAGTTGATTTTCTCACTATATGAGCTGCCTCTGATGTCAAAATTTGTAGCACAGTGATCCATTAATGTTGACTGAAGAGAGTTTTTTATTAGTGATTCTATAGGTTTGCTCAATTTTCCCATTTCAAAATGGGCATTCAATAGTGCTTGCAAGTTTCTATAGTTACGTGGTTATAACTGATAAATTCATAATGGTGACTATGGCTTCACTAAACCAGCCCTGAACCTGGGTAAGACTCCACACTTCCTACCACCACCACAACTCCTACCACATTCAAATGGTCCTCCTTGTGCCTGGTTCCAACAATTTATTGATGAGGGTATTAAAGTGACTCTGAGCAAAGTGCAAAACTTTTTGAAATGTGGAATGTGGAATGCAGGTACCAGAGGTATAGTTTGTGGAGAGTTCTTTCATGTTCTGGGTCCCAGAGCAGTATGTGCACAGGGACTCAGGGGAAATGATTTTTTTTTTCCAATTGAAATATTTGGGAGGAATAAATTGGGCCTGCTTGGCTCATGGCTTCTCCTTTGTCCTTTAGAGCCAAGTTCTAGCAGGAGCAGAGGTTTTCCTCTGTTTCTCTAAGCTAGAAGTCTGTCTGGGCCCCTTCTTCCTGTTCGCATGTGGGTGGGCTTCCCCAGCCCAGGGCAGCCAGATCTAGGGGGGTGGATAAGTCAAACCCACTAAGCTACTACCTCTAAACATGGGGCATTTGTGTCTCACATATTCCTTTACTTATTTCCCAATTTGTTGTGAACCTGAATGGGTAAGTGACATTCATTAGCCCATCAGAGGTTCCAGCATGCTGTGGCTGGCAAGAAACTAGGTTGAACACTTTTAAGGGCATTAATCTTGAGAAAGGATGACACTGGTCAATTATCAAGGCCAACCACTTGCTTCTCTCTTTCAAAACCTAGGAAGTTTCTTGTGCTAAAGTAAATTCATGAATACTGATAGGCATGTAAAGAGCTCATTGTTCCTAATATTTCTCAAATGACACTATGGTGCAGGTCTGTTCTTTCATGGCTTATTGGAATGAACATTTCAAAATTCATTTGTAATGAATTCTGTATAGACGAGGCTAAGAAAGATTATTACAAATCATGTTGCAGCATGCCTACTGTAGTTAAAATAATAGATGTCCTTGCTCCAAATATGGTTATAATAAAAATGAGGCTTCATAAAAATGCTGCACAGAGATCCATTGTTATTCTTTACGTGACTTTGGAATAGCTTACAATTGTCAGAGGACTCTTCCAGTTTTTATTACTTCAAAATTCCAGGTTCTGAAAATATTAATAAGGGCTTTCTTATTCTTACATCACCAATAACAAGATTCTTTGAATTAGAATGAATATGATAACAATAACAGTGGCTTAAGAAATAAAATGTCACTCACTTAATCTTCTTAATTTTGGGAATAATCGTGTAAAAGAACAAAATTTGAATGAAGGATATAATTTATAGCATTCATAGGCATGAACAGCACTGTACTAGGCTTTAGAAATCCTCTTTATTCAAATAATTGTCACAGCGCTGTCTCATTAACCCCATTTGACGAATGAGAAGACAAGCACACAGAGGGTTAAATTTTTCCAAATTCATAAGGCCAGTGTTTGGAGCAGTATGGATTTGGACCCATCTATCATGTTCTGGAACCTATGCTCTGAACCTCTCTGCTCTAAGTCCATTTGAATGAGCTTTTTTAGTCAGCAATGAATTCCTAAAAAGGAAAAAAAAATGCCATTTAAGAGAGGACACTGATAGCTTGAAAGGTAAGTGTTACATATTTCTACTATTCACAGGAAACAAAAAAAATGTCATAACATGGACTGACATAGTAGATACAATGCCACTTTAGAATTTAGGAGATTCGGGCTCCATTCTGCACCTCCCTGTGCCACTTAGGTGGTTACCATAGACATGTTTTCCTGCAGTCCCTCACCTGTGAATAACAGCACCTGCCTACTTATCTCACATACAGGTTTTAAGGTTAATATCAAATGATATAAAGGTAAATATCAAATGCCATACCCAGGAAAGCACTTTCAACATTGAAGTTCTTCCTTCCTTCCTTCCTTCCTTCCTTCCTTCCTTCCTTCCTTCCTTCCTTCCTTCCTAACTTCCTTCCTTCCTTCCTTCCTTCCTTCCTTCCTTCCTTCCCTTCTTTCTTTCCTCCTTTCTTTCTCTCTTTCTTTCTTTCAACTACTGTTACTCAGGTATTTTCATGAAAGGTGGGAGGGCTTGGGAGTTAGACCTGGGTTAGAGTCCCAGGTCTGCCTCTCACAAGTTCTTTGATTGTGTGCCAGAGAATGCTTACATTTTCTGAGCTTTGTTTTTGTCCTGTCTATATGGAAATGATATCGATTATCTTCCAAGGTTAGTGTGCAGTAGTGTAAGAAGGCGGCAGAAGTAGAGGGTGCAGGCAATAATAAAGGCTCTGTCCTGCAGAAAATTTAGAAACAGTAAGACTAACAGTAAGACTGATTCAAGTTGTCATTTTTTAAATTACTTACTATGTACCAGCAATACTAAATTTATTAAAAGGTCTATAATAAAGTTGCTATTCCTCCTCTCTGAGGCAGACCAGGCCCATTACACCTCTTCACTTGGTTGGTTTCTGTCAGTGTGATGATTATAGTAAATGTATGTGGAATCTCAGGATTGTCTTGGTCCTCTGAAAGTTCTCAGAAAAATCATGGTTCTTCTCCACAAAGTAAAATTATGGTGGAAATTTATAACACACTGGATGAATTTTTTTTTTTTTTTTTTGCTGAATATTTCCTCTGAAGATCTCATAATAGATTTTAGGATGTGTCTTTCCTGTCACCTTCCAAAATGCAAGAATAAACTAAAGGTCAGCATGGGGACTGGATAGGTATAGTTATGACTACCTAGAGAAGGTGACTATTCCACATTATCATGTTCAATAGTGAAGAACTATTTTCCTAAAGTTTCCTCATTAGGTGATTTTGGAATCAAAGCCCTGAAGAGTCCAGTTAAAATATCTATCTACTATCTGGAGACAACTGGTATCTCCAGGCTTACCTGTGGATTCAGTAGTGAATACTCTGCTTCCTCTAAATAAGCAGCTATCAAATACAAGCTTGGGCTGTAGAAGCTCCTACGTCTCATGTCTCCCACCATCTGTGCTCATTGGCTTGGTTAACTCTGGACAGCGGAATGAAGCAGAGTTGTGTGAAAAGGGAGATAAGAACAGAAAAAAGAAATTGTGAAGAGTGATAGTGTGGACCTACGTGGAGCGTTATGAAAAGGCAGAAGAGGGGGGAAAAGATGAGCAGACCAATGGGGGAGGGAATAGACTTGAGAGCTGGAAGAAGCTTTTAGGAAGAATTTCTCTGGAAATAGGAAAAAGGTCCATTAAAGGGAGAGTCCAAATAAAACTAATAGCCTGTATTTATTGAGCATTTGCTATGTGCTAGATATTATCCGAGGGATAGTGGGCACTGGGGTGAGACAGACTCATAAGTAGAAATTTTTAATGCACTGTGGGAACTGAAATTGAGGGATTATACCTGGAATCTGCAATGAAAGGACAGACTCTTCCCTAGGGCAGGTAACTGGAAAAAATCAGCAGTCATGCTCTGGGGAAGATACAGAAAGCCAGGAGTCCTGTCTATTTCATAAATTTTACTAAGCTTATTTAATTGAAGAGATTTTGAGCCAATAATTTAGCTTTCCATAAATTCCAAGACCTCCTACAACTTAGAAAATAGATTTTGCCTGTAAAATGGCTATGTGCTATGCTGTAGACCTACCACAGAGAAGGGTTATCACAGAGAAGTAAAAAGAAGAAACTGTAGGATCCAGCTTGTGAGCTCAACAGGCGGAACTGTTATGTCTCTCTGGTTTACGGCGCTGGCCTCTCAGTGCCCTGGAACAAACATCTGTTGGCAACTGAGCAAATGAATCAATGGAGTGGTGGCAGGAGAAAGTTACCAGTGTGGGATTTTAAGTGGTATTTGGGGGTCTGTTCTTTCTAATAATCTCTTTAGCCAGTAGTTATCTTAGCCGTCCTGATCCCTTCACTCTATGCCTAAGCCTGTGTTTTGAAAAGGAAGAGGAATCAGGAAGCTTAACTGAAGCCTCAGTAGTGATCCTGGATACATCTCTGGATATGCAAGGGTTTTACCAGGCAGTCTGCCTCCATAATTTAATCTTGGGGACTTCCTCTACTTAATACAATAATGTTTAGATGAGCTGTTTGAACATGACAACTGGTGCGATGCCTTGCTCCAATATAATGTAGATGTGGTTTATGAAGTTTTGGTAAAAAGGTGATTCCAAAAGAAATTGATATTAGAATGTTCTTGCTGAATTATAATCAGTATCATTTGTGAAGTTTGGAGAGATGTTAGGGGTGCAGCGTTTACTTTGTGTTTTTGCTACCTCTTTGGTAAATATCTACTGAGCAATTTTTATAAGATCAGGTATGTGCTGGGTCCTGCTGGATAGGGCATATTGGATGTTTGATTAGACTCATTATAGCTTTCCATATAATGTGTTATGATGTGTCCTTTTAGAATTTTCAGGTTCTGTCCTTATTCTTCTGTGGTTCACTCCTCACTAGCAAAAGCTCACATTTTCATAAAAGTCTTTTCTTGAAAATTATCAGTATTTTCTTCTGTCCTAAATTACACTTTGGGGACAGTGAAGAAGGAGCAATGTCAGACTAATTGCTCCAATAATAATAGGGCCCAGACGGCTAGCTTTGATCTTGGGAACCATCTGCAATCCAGACCACTTTGATGTTTCATACAATGGAAGCATAAATATTTTCTATTTACTCCGTGATTGGACTTTCAGAAATCTAATTAAGTTGAAGGTCAATTAAGAGAAAATGAAATCTTCACTCCAAAAGTCAGGAAAGAGGTGGAAGATGATGGCATAGTTATGTGTACATAAAAGAAGCTAACTAACCTAATTATAAACTTATATAAACATCCAGAGAAATTGCCTTTCATGTGAAAAAAGGACCTAAAGCATTTTATAACATTGAGATCATTAATGTGTCTTTGAAACACACCCAGTACTAGAAAAGAATAATAATACTGGCATTTCAAAACTCTATTACTAAAAAAATTGGAGACAGCTAGGAATAAAAGCACATCATAGATCATCAAATGCCGCCTCTTGCTCTTGGAAATGAAGACCATAAATGTGCATAGCACAGCTGTATCTACTGGATTCTTCCATCTATGGTATAAAGATTTCACTATTTTAGAAAGCTAAAAGGCTGAGCAAGACCCTGGGTATTAGAACACCCCAAGTGTAGGCTCAGTGTTATGGTTGGATCTGGAATGTCTCCTAAAAACTTACATTTTGAATATATGATCCCCCAGTGTAGCAAGGCTCAGAGATGGAGATTTTGGGTAACCACTAGGACTGTGACCTGATCACTGGCTTTATCCATTTGCTGGATCAATCCTTTGATAGTTAAATAGGCTAATGGATGATAACTGTAGGTGTAGGTATGGTTAGAGTAAGTAGGTCACTGCAGTAGATTACTGGAAGTGTGGCCTTGGACTATTTGTCTCTATTGCTCTCTCTCCTACCTGGCTGCTGTGAACTGAGTAGCTTTCCTCCACCATGCCCTTTTGCCATGATGTTCTGCCCAGAGCAAAGGAGTCAGCTGACCATGGACATCTGAAATCATGAGCCCAAAATAAATTTTTCATCCTGAGTTGTTCTTATCAGGCATTTTGGTCACAGTGACAGAAGGGTGACTAACATACTGAGTCATCTCATGCAGGGCTCATCAGCTCTCTAGCCTCAGTTTCCTAATTTTGTTTTTGGGTGTGTGTATGATGAGTCACCTTTTATTTTATTGTTTTTTTTTCCACAAGCATTTCCTAATTTCCAAATTAAGACTAATAATTTTTATCTCATAGGTTTATTATGAAGTTTAAATAAAAAGTAAATCCTTTAATTCTAAGATGTTCATAGTAGATAAAAAGAATTGATAATTCCTCCCCTTTCTCTCTTCTTCTTGAGAGCATGTTTTTTTTTTTTTAATTAAATGGACCTGAGGCTCATTCCCTATTCTTATATTTGCTTTCCATGTTCTTTTTCCATGTTGCATTTCAACTCCTTAGGCTTCAGTTTCTCAAATTTTAAAGTGGAGTCAAGTATACCTATCTTGCCAGGTTTTTTGGGGAAGAATGCATAGAATTTATACAGATGATGGCACAGAGGTGATTGTTATGGAGGACGTGAGATGACAGAATGCAACTCAACAAAGTCTAAAGCACACTTTCAAAGGTGGGTTTAAATGCTTGTGCCTGTGTGTACATGTGCCTTTGTGTGTTATGTGTGAATATGTGTGCATATGTGTGTAGGTAGGGTATATGAGGGGGGGTATGTATATATGTGAAATTCCTAGAAGGGAAGACCTGTCAGGATATCTCTTCATCCCTGTCACTAACCACAATTGTGTGATGTAGAAATGTAAATTTGAATGATACAGAAAGATACTCCTAACTGAATAAGGCAAACAAATTCTCTTTATTCCTTTGCTGGTGACACACATCTTATAGATCCTCCCTCTCTCCCTCCCCCTTTTGAACTACATCTAAGGATTCTTTCATCTAAGAAGTTCAAAGTATGCTCACTTACCTATGCATCTTAGTGAAATCTTCTTTTCTAATGCCTGTACTTTGGGACAAATAGATAACTAAAATTAACTTATGAGGCATCCCTGATAGCCATCAGGAACACATGGCATCTGACCACAGTGGCTTGAATTTGTTTTCAAGAAGGTCAATTAGTTAAATAGCAGAGGATAAAATATAATCTTGGCCTATTACCTTTTGACAAACAATGCATTAATATAGAAATTCTAGCTAAAGCAGACACAAATGGTTGGTTTTTCCAAAGTAATATGACCTTGGTGTCCACAAAGGCCAGAATAATGAGTGCCAGAAATGCTAGTGTTGTCTGATCATGTTTTCTTAATTCTGCAGCCCGAGTAAAAGACAAAGGCTATTGTTAAATGTATTATGGGTTATATTTAGAATTGGTAGAGTTGATTTATCAAACTCAAAGGCCAAATCCTGCCCTTGGATGTGTCCGATGTATAAATGTGTATCCCTGACCAAAAGAGCATCCGCTTGAACTGTGACGCTCTTTTGCTAATGGAATCTTTCGAGTTTGCTGGAGGTGGAGGTGCATGTCCTGGGCATGTAGCACCTGCTGCTGTGGCCACCATACTCACAGTTCACAGTGACCTTGACTTGTTTGACATCCGCTGAGGAGACCTCATTGGCAGCTTTGCACTCATATTTGCCTGACTGCTCCCTGGTGATGCCAAGAATCTCCAGATATTCTTCTTCTCCTTCAAATTCTCTTCCTGAAAAAAAAAAGTTTGTATGATTTTTTTTTAAAGTTGAAATCACAGCAGACTGTCTCATTTTTCTTTTTAAAAGCAATAAACTGACATGACTTTTCAATACTTTGACAATATGCTTTTTCTGAGGTTATATTTGACAGACACAAACCCTAAGACAAAAATCTTGTAAAAAGTGATTAAATGGGAACTGTTGTTGTAAGATGCTGATAAAGGAGTGGAAAAAGGGAATCTGGAAGAGAAGGAAACCAAACAAGAGTGTGATACCAAGCTGAGTCCCCCCAAAAGCAACCTTGAGTCGATCTTTCAGGAAGCTCTGGGGACAACACATGTCCCACTTAAAGACATCTTGATCATGAGGTACAAAGCTGGAGTGTTTATATATTCATATGCACCAGTCATTATTTAAGGGTTTGGTATAAAGTAGTAGTTGCGGGGAGGTCCATACAAGTTGTCAAGCACTCTGAAGGGTGTGGGTGAAGCACTGACATCATCAATTATACTTTTAAACTTCAAAGTAGCTATTAGAAGGAGAAGTGGCTTCCTTTTGTGAAATCACCACTCTGCCACTTTATGTGCAATTTTTTTTTTCACAAGGATCAAGTGCTAAACCCTGTCTTGCTATTATGGGTTCCTTATTTTGTATAAAATAATATCATCATTGAGACTTTCAGGCCATGAGTTAGATCCATGAGAATGTGCTATTGATGGTACGTTTTGCAACAGATTGTGGCACCTGGGGCTGGGGACATAGCAGCTCTAAAAAGATCTACAAAATTGGCTATGTCCATTTTAGTAAAGAAATTTCAAGACAAGAAAGTTTGTTTAAATTTTCCTCACATGGATCATAACTGATTAAATAAAATTTCTGAGTAGATTGAGAGAAAGAGGGATGAGGAAGTGGAAGGAGAGAGAATGAAAAAAGGGAAAGAGAAGGTGGAGAAAAGAAAGATTGCACAGCAGGAAGAGCTTAGCCAGAGCTTGGCTAAAAAGGCCTGTGGACTTCAGTTGAATTGAAATCCCTTCACCTCCAGATTTCAAGACTCCACTGCTTATTGGGTTAGGATAGAGCAACTGGAGAGGGTGTTCAAGAATACAGTCCATCACCATGATGGAATCTTGCTCCTGGTCATCCTACATTAAATGTTACCAATTAATAGCTCTGCTGAAATGTCACAAGCTGTTTTCCTTTTCTAGAAATTCCCTGATGGCCAAATCAACATAACAGCCAGCCAGCATGGACATGAATTCACTGTCTAAATATGTCAGCTAAGCTTGTTAACTAGGCTCCCAACAGAACATAGGACCCCTTTGATAATGTTCTATAACTCAACTGTCAGGAATACTCTAAGCATTAAGTCTCTGTCAACATCAGTACCACTAGTTTTGAGGAAACTTGGCAATTCCAACAACTAACAGGCAATCGTTACATACAATTATTTGGTTCTGAAATTCTGGACAATCTCTAGTACATTCTTCAACTGAAAATGTTACAGAATTGGCCTATGGTATAGAGCTGAATATTATTTATAAAAGGTTTAGTTATTTTTCCTATCTGTGTTCTTTTTATTTTTCCATTTTCAAGCAAGAAGTCAGATCTAATTTCATGTTATAGGAGTGAAATGCATTTGGAAAGAAAACAGAAATCTTGGAGTAATAAGCCCTTTTATTAAATTAACTGGGCAGGATTTGGGCTTGGAGGGAAAAAAATCTTGTGTGTTTATATACATTTATGGACTAAGTCATGCTATTTGTTCGATGCCACCGGTCTTCTAGCTGAACATTAGTACTCTGAAGACTAATGGCAATGTTGACAATCAGTTTTTATTTAACAGGCTGAAATAGGTATAAGCTAATTAGAAACCTGGAGTGCAGAAGTGGAATAGATAGTAAAGTAGCACTATTGATTTTGAGAGTAATGCTAGATTATAATGAGAAGATGTAAAGATGATTCAGAGTATTTTAGGATTTCTTCCTTGCCCTCCTCCATATCCATAAACCTTATTTGTAGGTATATAGTAATTTTGGTATGGCAACCTTGATGAAGTAATACACGGATGACTTGAATTAAGATACATAGCAGATAGAAGTCAGATCCAACAATTCATACAGCTTAAGAGAATGGAGCTAGATAACCAAAGGTGGTCGGCATTTCTGGGAGAGATGCTGTCATAAAAGCCCATTCCCTTTAAATGATTCTAATAGAGCCCCACTTCGTTGGGAGAAGAAAGGGTATGTAGGAGCACTCTGCTGTTAGGGAAGAGGCTCACTGGCCATGTCCTGAGGTTGTGACTGTGGTGTATAGTTATCAGTTCAGAAATTAGCAGAGGCCCCTGTGGACACAGGCCTGATAAGATGCCATCTTTTTTCCTCTCAGCAATGGCAGTTCTTATTTTAAGGCCTGGAATAGATCACATTAATTTTGAGACACAAAATTCTAAAATGCACTCAGATTCTCCTGCTTTTTTCCCCTTTGCCCCAGTGTGCCTGTGCCCATAGTTGTACCTATTCTCCAGTTCTTTCAAGTCACTTTGACTAGGATCTGGCCACCATTTCCTGGACTCTCTAAACTTAAAAATTTCAGGCCAGAAACACATAGCCTGTTGTGGAAGTTCTCTGATGACTTGCCCTCTGACTACAACTCAGGTCCTTTCTGATTTCTATTATTTCCTAACCTTGTTTAAATATTGACTTGAAATGCAAATTTCAATATTTTGGTATTTTAAACATCTCAACCAGTTTCCACCAGCTTGCTCATGTAGCGGAATGTTATATTTATTCTGGGATCTAGTGTTTAGTTTAAATCTCCCTTTGCTTAATGTGCTTGGGTGTCTCCTGGCAATATTCAGCTACCAGCCTAAAGAACTTCTCATCCTCCCCCGTGTCTGCACCTTTCAAACTCTTGTGCATAATTAGCGTATGCCCTCTTAGTCACCGTTTACTCAAGTTGTACATATTAGTTCCTTTAATATTTCTTTATAAGTCAGAAAGAAGTGCCTAGAGCTCATGGCAAGAGAAAAATGCTCTCTTTGGCATTCCCTAATGTGGAGAAAAGTCAGCCAGGGTAACCCCAATTAAAGTCTGCCAGGTGTTGCCTTCTGAGTACTATGCCTCAGAAGAACACATTTTGGTGAAATCTGTAGTTTGAATCCAAAATGTTCATTTATTGAGATTCCAAGGTCAACCAGGCATTCCTAAGCAAGCATTTATTTGGAATTAAATTCATTTCCATGGTGCTTCTTTTTCTCTTTCTTTTCTCTTTCCTCTCTTTCCCTCTTTTCTTCCCACTGTCTTCCTGTTTCTCCTCTTCTCTTTCTGCTGCCCCACCCCTGCAGCTACTTATTTATGTATAAGCTTTCTGCTCTTAACTTTTAGCAAACACCATGCAAATTCATTAACCTACTAATATTTGCTCCCCAAACAGAGCACTATTCTTGAAAACTCCCCAGGACATGAAAACTTCTCTTTTATTTGCATTAAAAAGATTTGTAAAACAATACTATTACCCTAATAATCATTAAGATATCTGTCTTTCTTTCCCTTTGTTTGAGATGCAAGAAATACAATTGAGGGAACTTGCTTAATTTGAGTATTTCATTTATAAATGTAGAAATCTAAGGACATCAGGAAACGGATACATTTTTCCCCCCCACTATTCTGAGATGAGACTTGTAACATCTCAGTACATCAATGTTTTGCTAAAGGAAAGATGTGTTTGGAATGGCACTGACATTCCCTTAACTCAACTGAATTTGAGTATTTATGTGTAAGCAAGTGGCTGTAAACACATTAGCTATCAACACAAACACACCTAATTTAAAGAAAAGCAAGAACTGAAATTCATCCTGCAGGGTATGTGGGTGTGTATTTGTGTGTTGTATGAGTCTGTGTTTGGAATAGAGAGTCAAGAAAGTGAGCACAAGCAAGCTATGAACTTCTGCCTATAAAAATAAAAGAAAAACAGAATCACAAAATCAATGATGCCATTTGAAGTTTCCTGGGCAAATTTCAAATGTGGTAACAAGTGTCTGTTCTTACAATATGTTTTATGTTCTTTTCTTTCCTTTCTTCCTAAGGACATGCTCACCTATTTCTGGTTTTGTTCCCTTGCCTACTTTTCTGCATAGCATGGTCTACACACAAATCCTAAGAAGAAGAAGAAGAGGGAAAGAACAGAGAGAAGACTCTAGAAAGGAGAGCTGTGATAGGGTTCTGTTTGTATCTCTAGCCAGGTCTCCCTCCAGATCCTTTGAAGATTTTGTTTCTCAGCTTTATATTTCACCTGAGACATCCTTTAGTGTTTGACAAGGTTGCTGTCCAAAGGTGGAACCCACTTCTCATCCCCGCTTTTCATCACTGAAAGGGAGGGGTGAGAAGTGGTAAGTGATCCTGATAAAAAGAAGGTGGAAAGGGAGCAGCCACCCTTGCCAGAGCAACAATCATAGAAGAATAAGGAAAAACAGCGCATTAAGGGAGTAAAGGAAGAAAAACACAGAGGTGGTGCAATGAGGGTGATTTTTAAGCCAGAGGAATGGAAATGAAAGGAAGGGAGAGTTCCCTAGAGAGAGAGGCATTGAACTATTAAGATATTTGAGGTGCAAGAGGAAAGTCACTCAGATAGAGCAATATTCCTTATGGAAACAGTAAGATACAGCAGGATGTGAATTTGGTATATTGACCCATGCCTTCTGTAGCCTGGAAGGGTGTAGTTATTACCTAAAAACCAGTGATAAGCCAGAGAAAATTCATAACTTCTTTGGCTCAATGGATGTGCATGGGCAAAAAATGAAAAACACTCTGGCATTATTTTTTCCTGGCCTCTAGAAAGACCCAATTCACTATGATTTGCAGTTTTGCTTCATAGGTATTTTTTTTTTTTTTTTTTTTTGCTAGCTGACATAGTTTTAGTTCAGCATCTGACCTGGGACTGCCATCTGCACATCATTTCAGTCTTGGCATTCTTTAATAATACTAAACCTTTACTCTATACTTGTTATCAATTA